CATTTTAAAATAAAGAGTTAAAATTCCAATGCGTCAGTAGTAAAAAGTTTTTTAACTCATTACTTTCCTATATAAGTTTTTGTTTAGTACTTCTCAACCTAATTCTCATACTTGGTCTCCGGAATAGTGAAGGATATAGTCTCACATGTATGTACATTTGGCTAACTCCAAAATGGTAATTGCTGATATTACCGCCGAATATAAACATTTAATTTATTTTAAAATACCATTTCTCAAAATGTTTGTCCTGATGTTAATATATGGTGTATGAAAAGACGCTTTCTATGTCATATGGGCAATTCCATGAGAAGGTAAACTACGACTGATAAATATAAAACCCTTATAACTTTTGCATTTTTGAAGATTATTCAACAAAATTTATGATATATATATATATATATATATATATATATATATATATATATATATATATATATATATATATATATATATATATATATATATATATATATATGTATATATATATATATATGTATATGATCTTTTGTAGCACCAAAGATGAAGACAGTTGAAAATTTTTTAATTTGGTCTATTTTTACACCTCGCTTCCATACAAACGGACCCGCAAATATCACTTTTTTGCTCATAATTCTGTTAATTATAATACTATCCCTTCCAAAATCCAAAGATCTAAAATGTATATATGTAAGCCTAAACCTAAACCAATTTTCATAACGATTGGACCTCATTTGACCCTAGGTCCATTCAAAGTTTAATTTCAGAGAAACACTTAAACGTCCGTAACTCACTTCTAATCACTAGTATTTTGATAAAATTTGGCACAAATAAGTTTTATATGAATGAAAATCCTACCCCCAAATTAAGATCGGTCCATATGTGACCCTAGTCGCCTGTTTTTTTATTTTTATCTATAAATTGCTTAAACATGTATATAGGTCGGCCATGTCCGACTGCACTTTCCTGCTCCTTATTATTTGTTGAATTGTGTGTATGCATATTTTTTCAAAATATGTATTTTATAACCTAAAAAAATTCAGGAGAATAATCTGTCACATACAATGTGTCACGTACGATATTCAAAAATGTTCATTATAAAATTATATTATTATTTTTTTTTTTATTTAAAAATTATGGATTACGAATGAGAAATATGTCCCATAGTGTAAGAAATTAAAACAAAAAAGATACACCTACAGAATTCGCAGATTTTCGTAAATATTTACATGTACTTTAAAAACATTTCCGTTTTTGACACGTATGTTATCGTCATATTTTAATCCATATTTTGGAAAACAAGATTCCGAATGGGATGATTCCTTTTGCAAATATAGTATTCTCAAAATGGAGCAGAATGACAAAATTGTATGAAGGCGTACGAACGCCACATACAATCGTATGTAATTGCCCATATGTCAAATATTTATTTGCGATTACAAAAACATTAACTAATTAACGTTATGCTGTAATTCCAATTATATGTTCTAAGTAGAACAAGTAAGAGTGTTATATTCGGCTGTGCCGAATCTCATATAACCACCATCAAACCGTATGCTGTAAAAGGAATGCTCCCCTATAAACATCAGCGTGATATTTGGAATATGGCTTAAGTCAATTATGGCCCGAGCTCTTTTGAACTAACAAAATATTAATTTTTAAAAAACAAATATTTTATTTCAATTATTAAACCGTGAGCGTCAGTTATGAACCGATACTCATAAAATTTTGTACATAGATTATGTATAGGACTTGTTTATGCAAAATTTCAGCGCTATACTCGTATTTTAAATAAGGAACACTCGTAGTTAGTAACCAAAACTCTTTCCTGAAGGGAACCTTTTGTGTATTACCAACACATTCCGCATGAAATTCGGAGCGAATTTCATAACCGTATTTCATAACTCATATTTTTAAGCCAGTAATGATCGTAGGGTAAATTATGGACCGATCCTCCCTAAATTTGGTGGAGGGATTTTGGCACGCATTGAACTTAAGTGCGTCAATTTTCGTCACATTCATATTTTTAAGCCAGTAATGAGCATTGTAGTTATTTGCAGAGGAGGACCTTATATGGGGAAGGGTCATTTATGGGTCGATCCAAAAAAATTGGTACAGAGGTTTTGGCTCGTAAGAAACTTACGTGTGTAGCATTTCATCGCTTTACTCGTATTTTTAAGACAGTAATGAGCGTTTAAGCTATTTCCTGAAGTGGACCCAATAAGGGGAGTAGGGCCAATTATGGACCTATCCATATAAAAGTTATTAAAAAGATTTTGGCTCGCGAGAAACTTAATTGTGTAAAATTTTATTGCTATATTCATATTTTTTAGCCAGTAATGAGAGTTAAAGTCATTTTCAGAAGGGGACCTTCTGAAAATGGGCCGATCTTAAAAAAATCGTAGAGCGATTTTGGTTCATAAGAAACTTACTTATACCGAATTTCATCGCTGTACTCGCATTTTTGGACCAGTAATGGGGGGTAGAGTCAATTATGGACCGATCCTCAAAAAATTTGGTAGAAAAATTTTGGCTCACATGAGACTTATTTATGTCGAATTTCATCGCTATACTTGCATTTTAGGGCCAGTAATGAGTGTTAAAGTCATTTTCAGGAGGGGACCTTATATGGGGGGTAGGGTCATTTATGGGCCGATCCTAAAAAAATTGGTTAAAAGGTTTTGGTTCGTAAGAAACTTACTTATACTGAATTTCATCGCTATACTCGAATTTTTAGGGTAGTAATAAGTGTTAAAGTCATTTTCTAAAGGGGACCTTATATAGGGGGTAGGGTCATTTATGGGCCGATCCTAAAAAAATTGGTAGAGAGATTTTGGTTTGTAAGAAACATACTTATACCGAATTTCATCGCTATACTTGCATTTTGGGACCAGTAATGAGTGTTAAAGTAATTTTCAGAATGGGAGCTTATATGGGGCGTAGGGTCATTTATGGGCCGATACTCAAAAAATTTGGTAGAAAGATTTTGGCTCACATTAAACTTATTTATGTCGAATTTCATCGCTATACTCCTACTTATAAAACAGTTATGCCCGTTAAAGCTGTTTTTTGGAGGTCCACTTGTATGGGGGCTATCCGAAAAAGTGGACCGATATTGCCCATTTTCAATACCAAACAAACCTTAACAATAGAAAATATTTATGCAAAATTTCAACTGTCTAGCTCCTATCGTGTGGTCCCTATCGTGATTTCAACAGACAGACGGACGGACATGGCTAGATCATCTTAGAATTTAATAATAACCCGGAATATATATACTTTTATGGGTATATGACCAATATTTCGATGTGTTACAAACGGAAAGACAAAATCAATATACCCCCCATCTTTTTTGATGGTGGGTATAAAAACAACCAAACAAACCTAGAAAATTTTCTATAGAAAATATTCTATAGAAAAATCTAGTGTTTTTTTTTGAAAATCTAGAAAAGTTTTATAGGATATAAGTAATATATTCTATAGAAAATAACACGGACACCAGTGTCTCCCAGTTTTGCCCAAAGTCATCCACTTTTTTATGGGCCCATAAGGATTTGGGTATTCGGTTTAATTTTGGCAAAAAGGTGGTAATTTGATTGCAAAAAAATTAAAAAAACTTTATCTTAAATTTTTAATTTCAAGTGAAAAAAGTTTTACATTGCGAAATTGCAGTGCAATTATTAACGCCACCTAAACGTATAATTTATTAATATTACAAATATTAAGTATACGTCTAATTTAGAGAAACACCTGAAACATTTTTTTAACACGTTAAAATTTTTTAAAATGTTTGTACTTATGACAAGAGCTACAATCTATAAATATGGTTATAGTTATCCTTGTCGCACTGTGTAATATTTTCTATAGAAAATCAGTAAAAATTTCTTTCGACAATCTATGTAAAATCAGTAATATTTTCTATTGAAAATCAGTAATATTTTCCATAGATCGTCAGTAATATTTAGTCTGTTTCGGTTCAGTCTTTGGAAATAAAATTTCTAATTTTTTGTCACATTTGAACAAAATTTCCTACAGGGTAGAATGAAAAAAATGCGTCATTAACATACACTATATGAAAGAATTAGTAGAAAAATTAATAATTTAAATTGCTATGCTTACACACAAACTCATACGCCCAAAAATAATATGTTTTCTGTTTTCTTCAATGTTTTATAAGCAAAATAACATTTAAAATCGTCTTCTTAATGTGTTAACAAAACAGTATACTACCGCTTTTTGAACTGTGTAAAACCGGAAAAATTCAATAGATCCGCATGCCATTTTTCTATAAACCAAGAAATAAAAATGGTGACATTATTGAGTTTCCACAAGTTTTTGTTAAAGTTCTCATAGGAAACGGATGTTGGTTAACAGAAGGTGATGCTAATGATAGGGAATTTCAATTGAAAAATTTGTTATACAATGTTTATGGCTGGATTGTATATGCAAATTTAACTTTTATAATCTTTTGTGAATTGGCTTATTTCGTTGCGAATATGATGGATGTAATAAAGGCTGTTGAGAGTTTTTGCACTTCAATGATTGGATTTTTCATTGTAATACGTACGCTACATTTTCGTTTAACTATGAATGATGTGAAGGAGCTTTTGATTTTATTTACTCGAGAAATTTGGATAGATGGGTATGTTTTGTGCATAAAAAAATTATATTCTGTGTCTATGTAAAATAATATGAGAATATAGAGGGGATTTCGGAAGATGAATTTTTCCTAACATAAGGAGATAAAAGAGTGTGTTTGATATTAAAAATAAGTAACTAACGATATACGTTTTTATAATTTTTATATATGATTCGGCAGAGCCGAATATAATGCTCTTACTTCTTCTTCTTATTATTCATTTATCAGCTTTTAATTAAATTTTCACAGTGACAAATATCCACGTATTGTTAAACGTTGTCATCGCATTATGAGACCAGTTTTTGTGTACTTCGTTCTTATGTTTAACGTTTTAATGTTGTACAGCATCATACCGATTTTTGTCTTCTTCACTACAAATCAAACAATGGAGTCCAAAGACAAAAGAATGCCATATTCAATGATATTTCCCTACGATGCTCAAACAGGTTATATATATTTTGTAACCTATATTGCGGCAATTTTAGCCGGTTATGTAGTAATCTCACATTTCTATGCTCTCGATGCACTCCTACTAATGTTTGTCAGTTATTTGAGCGGACAATTTGAAATCTTACATGGTGAAATTGTTCGTCTAATACCAGAGTGTCATGCTGAGTGGTTGAAACGTTATGGTGTTGAGAGTGGTGTTAGTATTGGCGGCAATAATGATGTTGGTTATGATGCTCAACCGGATGCTAGAATGCTTAAACTTTTACAGGATATGTATATTAAACGTTTGCATGAATTATCTGCTCGCCACAATGATTTAATTAGGTAAATAGAACAAGTTGCTTTGTTGTCTTTGTTTTCCACAATAGAAATCATGTTATCGATGTTTTTGTAAGTTGCTGTGTTTGTTCTTTAAATGTCTGAAAGTCAGAGTATGATGTGTTTGCACCTTTAACTTTAGAAAATTTCATTGTCTTTCATTGTGAGAGAGACTTTTATGGTATTTTAAATAGACTATGATTTAATTAAAATCTTAATTTTGTTTTTATTTTCTTAAATTCTATTTTTAGCTTTAGTGTGCGACTCAATGAATCGATTTCGTTTCCACTTCTGGTGAACGTTGTAAATTCGACATTTTTAATATGTTTCTGTGGTTTTCAGTTTCTTCTTGTAAGTAAATATAAGGAAATATTGTGGAGTTGGAGGCTTGCGTATAAAAATAAACATAAACATTGAATATCAACCAAAGTTTATGGATTATATTTACCATTATGGAATATACAAATATTTTATTTTTAAAATTTGGCCTTGTTTATATGTAGGTCATTTATTTTCTTTGCAAATAACTTTGGTTTTGATAAAACAAGTCAGTAGCTATAAATGTGTATAAATATTGAAAATATTTATAGTACTGGAATAATATTGGTCTTACTTAAACTATACGAGTCGTCTTGTAAACAAATTTCCGAATAAGTCATGCCCAATAATAATCTATTGTTTTCTTCAATGTTATATAAATAAAATAACATTTAAAAACGTCTTCTTAATGCGTTAACAAAACAATATACTACCGATATTTAAACTGTGTAAAAACAGAAACTTTCAATGGATTCGCGAGCCATTTTTTCTATAAACCAAGATATAAAAATTGTGTATTTATCGAGTTGTTGGCTGACGTTGTTGGTAATGCTAACGAAAGGGAATTTTAATTGAAAAATTACTTATGCAGTGTTAATGGCTGGATTGTATATGCAAATTTAACTTTTATAATCTTTTGTTAATTGGTTTATTTTGTTACGAATATACAGAAAAAACTGAAAATGTGTTTTAATTATCAAATTGATTGTATCAAGCAAGTTTTGCACCTATCCACAAAATGATGATATCAATTATGAAATTTGTAAAAAAATATTTTTTTCCAATTAAAGAAATAATCAAAACAATTAACATCAGTAATTAAATTCAAAATTTAAAATTAGTTAATTCATTAATTGGATAAATTAAATATTTAATAAAATAAAACTTACATTTTAATTAGTTTATTAATCAAATAAATTTAACAGTTTGGTTAAAAATGTATTAAAAATCAATAAAGTCGATGATTGAAACAATCAAAGCATTAATTGAATGCTTACAACATTAAAGGATTCCTTTACCTTTAACAATGCGTTAAGCACTCTCAAAAATATCCCTTTATTGTCACATTTGAACAAATAAAGTGATTTATAAATTTTAAAATATTTTGAAACTTCAACTTCTTATGCCTAAAATATTATTGACTATTTGAGAATTATTTTCCGTTATAAATAAGAAATTATTTAAATAAAATATCAAAACAAAAAACCAAAATAAAAAAGTAGGCTGGAAAAACTTTTTCAGCCAATTATAAAATTAATTGATTCAATTAAAAGTTTAATCAAATTTGTATACTTAGGATCAAAACAATGAGATAATTATGACAATTAAAAAATTGTTTAAATAAAAGTTAAAGAAATAGGAAAACATGTTAATTGAAAATAAACTACCGATAATTTTTTCTGTGTAGAGTGTCCCGAGGAACACACATTTTAATAAAGTAATTCATGTAGGAATCGATGCATATCTTTTCGAAATGGGTCACAAAAATTCCATAATTTTCAGCTTATAATTTTACATAGCCTCCATAAAATTAATTATTCGGAATATCATATATACACACATAAATATTTAAGAATATTTGATACTAGTCTCTTCTTTGTAAAATTAGACGTAAAGGTTTAGTTCTAAAAACAATGTCAAAAGATCAAAGGAAATCCCACAAATTCCAAAAACTAAAACGAAAAATTACAAAAATGGAATTTTTTAAAATTTTCCAATAAGATTCAATTTTCTTTCTAAAGTAAATGGTCCAATTTTAAGTGTCAAATACATTTTAAAATTGCGAACTGTATATATGTAAGCTTAGAATATTTACATTTTAATTAGGTATCTTTATATTATAACTAATTAAAATTATCCCTTTTATCCCCCATAAATCCACAACGAACAAATAGAGTGGAACAACCTCATTGGGTGATTTCTTGTTGTTCTCGTCATTCTTTTTTTCAGTGACATTGCAATTGTACGTGATTTGCTACAGTGGTACAATACTTATTAAATATGTAAGTAAAGTTTTCTATGGCTAATAAATATTTAATTCTATTTTTTTTTAGTTAAGTGTTCGTTTTGAACATTTTACTATTTTCTTTTAAGTAATTTAAAATAAAAACTAAACATTTTTCCTTTTCCTCTTTGTATAAGAGACTAAACGAAAAAAAGAAATATATGTATTTGTTTTCAGTCTACTAATACCGCCTTTTATTTGTACTTGTGTAATTGGGAGGGTGGTCAGTTGTCGAAAGATTCACCTTTAATCCTTAAGCCCGAAGATATGGATGCGGCCTCTTTGAGTGCCAAGTTACCATTATGGAAGCACATTAAATATCATCCAGCTGGTAAAGATTTTTGCAATAAATTGCGTTTTATGATAATGCGCAGTCAACGTCCCGTCCAAATGGATGCCATGAAATTTACCATTCTATCGTTGGAAAGTTTTAGTAAGGTAAATTATAATGAACTGCAACTGCTAAGACTACTTGCAATAGTTGCTTTTAGTTTTGAATAAATTATGAAAAAATTTTGTGTTTTACAGATTCTCAGTTCATCGATGTCTTATTTTGCTTTATTGAAAACTTTTTTGGATAAACAAAAGTAATGTGTTCTTGTGTGTATCGATTATCAATGAAAGTTGTCTGTTCAATTTATAATCATTAAGTATGTATGTCCTGTTACATTTACTACTTATATATTTATCAATAAAGTTTAAAATTGTCTGTTTGCAATTTTTATAAATTTTTTATTTCTATTTTGTCTGGGGAAATTATTTTAATTATGGCTTAATAAAAGATCAATTCTTATGGCTATTATAGATCATTTTAAGAGATTTAGGAGTTTCAATAGTTTCAGTTTCATACTTTGCAACACATTTATGGGTACACAAATCTATCTATGCAACATTTTAAAACTATTGATACTTAAACAACAAATTTATAACTGCTTAAACTCTATTCTGGGGTGTAAATTGTATGTTCACTAGATAAAATTGTGGGCCGATATTATTAATATCAAACTATTTCAGGCCTCCTTTAGGATATGTTAATTTTAGTTAATTACACTGAACAAAACTACGTAAAAACAAGTAAGAAATTATAGTCGGGCGAGGCCGACCATACCCTACACCTTTGACAAAAATATAATGTGATTTAGTTTCCATAATAAAGCATTTAAATTGAATTGTACCTTGCCTCAGATATACATACTTAAGCCGTTTATTGTTGAATAAAATTGTGGACATTTAAGTTAAATTTTGATGGGGGCTTTTCATAGGGGCTAGGGTCATATGAGGACCTATTATTATTAGGGATGCCAATCCCGAAATCCCGATCCCGAAAATCCCGGGATTTTTCGGGATTAGAAAATCCCGAATCCCGGGATTTGCAAAATAAATCCCGGGATTTTTTCGGGATTAGGATATCCCGAATCCCGGGATTTTTCAAAATGAATCCCGGGATTTATTACTAAAAAATTTTTTTAAATTCTTTTTTGAGCCATAATTTCATTCAATTCGCTTCAAAATTACGATCTTTGTTTATTTTTGACTTATTCAGCACAGCTATTCTTGTACATTTTGAACCTTTTATTTTTTAAAGTGGTATGATACCAAATATAGTACATACAAATTTATTTTTTCATTTCGTCGTAGACCCAAAAAGTATACACATTCTTTGTCTATAGTAGATATAAATTTGGACCTAAATTAACACAAAAAATCCTAAAAGCACCTCCTCTGAAAACCAATTTGATGCTAATATTAATGTATTGACCAATCAGCTATTTAATGAGATTCATTTTTAAAATAGAATCGATTTGAATCTACAAAAATAATACAAAAATTGTGTAATATTCAATTTCTGCGGCTTTTCATACAAATTATCATATTTTTTAAATTGATTCTCTTAAATGGAAAGTATTTTGTTGTCTGCGTAGTATTTTGAAATAATAAACCATTCCTCGATTGAAATTAATCATACCTTTTCAAATCTATTGATTTCAAATTGTTCGAATTCCATCACATACCGGAATATTTATTTATTTTATTTCGGCACAGTCAAATATAAAATAAATTTTTAAATGATATCTAGAATGTTTTGCTTTACAACCCAGCAAAAAAAGAACTTCCAAAGAAGCGAAAAAGAAGTAGAATTTACTCCATGGAAGTACTGAAAAATAACTGAAGAAGTGATGATTTTAACACAGGCTTGTCATAGGAGGGATGTCCTTTTTATTTGATTCCAAATTTACTACTTCTGAAGTCATTCTCAAGAAGTAATTTTTATGATCCTTTTTTGCAAGTTATTCGAAAGTGAAATTGTATTATTATAGAATACAACTAATTTGCCTTATATAATTTTAAAACTATAAAGGGTAATAGATACATGTAATAAAACAGAAGCCGAAAAGTAAAATGTATTATCTCCCAAGAATGTAAGAACAAAAAAATATCTTCAGCTTTGAAAAAATATAATTATTTTCCAATCTTCGAAAGTCTTTAAACATCACTTCCTCAGAAGGTTAAAAAATTCACTTAGTGCTACTTTTAAAGTGGTGATAAATGGTATTCTTTTGGAAGTACTTCGTTTTAATTTTGCTGGAATGCTTTCTATAAATCTGAGTGATAACAGTAAAGGTAAATTAAATTGTTCTGAATGTAGATAACATGTTTCAAAGAAAAGGTTCATTTATGATCTAACCTGATATTCGAAGGATTGAACGTTATATTTATTATAACCTATTGGTCCTACACCCACCTTAAAGTATACCGATCGAATCAGAATCGCTTTCTGAGTCGTCGTTTGACATTAGTCCCCATTAAAAAATATCTTAAACGTCCAAAAATTTACTTATAACCATTAGTATCGCGATGACATTCAGCATAACTAACCTTTATACAAAATTACATGCCTCTTCCCAAATGTTTGAGGATCGGCCCATATTTGACCCTAGCTCCCATATAAAGCCTCTTTTAGAAATTTAGTTTTTCATCAATAAATTGCTTAAATACATCGGAATTAAGGTAAAATTCAACAAATTTTTTATGAAAAATAAATAATTTATCTTTTGTCGATTAATTTTCACAAGATTAAACAATTTTCTTCACAAACATGAAGATTTCAGATTTTCATGTATAAAATAATTAAATTTATGTAATCCCGAAATCCCGAAAAATCCCGGGATCCCGAAAAATCCCGGGATCCCGAAATATCCCGGGATCCCGGGATTGCAATTTTCAAAATCCCGAATCCCGGGATTTGTAAAAGCCAGTCCCGTTTGGCATCCCTAATTATTATGGAATTCGTTCAAATCATCAAATCTTGTATAGAACTTGGTTTTTGCACCTTTTTGTCGAGATATGAGTATATTAAACATAATTATGAACTTAAAAGCCCTATTCGGCTGGTTCAGTTGTATGGGGGCTAGGTGAAATAATGGACCGATGTAAACCATTTTCAACAGGCTTCGTTTACGGTACTATAAAATATCATGTGCCAAATTTCATTGCATTATCTCCAAAATTGCCTGTAGTTTGATTACAAAGTTTAAAAGCCCTATTCGGGGGTTCAGTTTTATGGGGGCTAGGTGAAATAATGGACCGATGTTAACCATTTTCAATAGGCTTCGTCCCTGGGACAAAATCATGTACCATATTTTATTGAATTATCTTCAAAATTGCGACCTGTAATTTGATTACAATGTTTACATGGACAGACGGACAGACGGACGGACATAGCTAAATCGACTCAGAAAATGATTCTGAGCCGATTGGTATACTTTAAGGTGGGTATAGGACCAACATTATTGTGCGTTACAAACATCAGCACAAACCCAATATACCCTCCCCACTGAAGTGGTGTAGGGTATAATTAAAAAAAATTTAAATTGTTTCGAAAAATTACCAAATTTCAATAATTTTGAACTAGAACATAAATTTCTGAAACGTCAATGAAAGGGCCTATCAAAGACTTTTCATATTATATATTATCCACTTTGGATTTTTTTTTAGATTCTAAGACGATCTAGACATACGGGTCGATAAAGCCTAAGTAGCTGGAACTATAAGGTAGAAACTTTCCACAAACAATATCTATTCAATCAGTTTCTTTTAATTGAAAATAAAAGATTCTTCTTCAGAAAATTACTTAAAAATACAAGTAGAGTGATACAAATTTCACAAACTCCATTATTAAAAAGCAATCATGGGGTATGATGTATTAATACTTCTGTAAAGGACCTTAAAGCATTCTAAAACTGCCAAGCTAAGTAATAAATGTATTATATGGTCACCTAAAACGCGAATAGCCCTAACTAACCAAAAATTCTAAATTGACTTTATTTTTGATTCTGATATATTTCTACAAAACAAATGTTCACAAATTTAGAATTCCTCAACCAAAATTAGTTTCAAAAGAAACAAAAAACAAACAGATCTAACTATCTTTTACAAACACAAGATTGTCAATGAACAAAATAACTGTTAAGTTTTAAATTATTTGTTTTTAAGGAAAACTAAATCGTGGTGATTGAAACTATATTTTTCATGTTAAAATTTTTTTTACGCTAATGTAATTTTAAAAACGTTAGATCAGACCATTTACATTTTACATGACGCTATATATGTATGTTACGATATATATTTTCTATACATAAGGTGAAGGAGAGAAATATCCTTTTAAACTTCATGTTGTAATTCATTTATTAGAAATCTTTGAAAAATGAAGAAGAGAACAACAAACATTAAAACCACAAACAAAATGACACTTTTGTTTAAGTTTTTTTCTTGTTAATGTCAATAAAAAAATATATATGACCAAAAGTAGCTCCGTGGTAGGCGCCCTTAACGAACAGAGGACGAAAACATACACACATAACATAACAATAGATAACTTTTTAGTTTTTAATGTTCTTTATGAGCCGACCATTGATTTCTCTAGATTTGTGTGCATGCATGTGGTATTCAGTTACAATAAACAATTTGAAAAGTGTATGTGGCTTTTCATACTTAACAAACCATACAATACATTCACATAAAATTGAAACCAATATAATTGTATTTGATAACAGACAAACATACTGTTGTTCATTATACTCTAAGTCCCTAAAGATAGGGTGGTATTATGCAATTTCGTCTGAGGTTTGTAACACTCAAATATAATTGTCTCAATGACTTTCGAAGAGGATTTAACGATGTCTGTTTATGTAAATATTTTGTACAGAAATTAGTGGCGCAGTATAGTTAATAAATTCCTTAAATTTAGCATACATGGCTGTCTTGAGCCAGTCAAGAACGTTAAAGTAATTTTCTGACATATTTTTTAGAAAATCAATTTTAATGTTTAGGGTATCATATGGACGGATATGACTGACTATAATTTCATTCTTTTTCATTTCATGTATTTGTATTTTTGAGTTAAAGTGTTCGACTGGACAGTTAGACACACATTCAGATTTTTTCTATATTGTTTACAAATACTACTTACTTATATTGATCAAAAACAATTTACTGATACGAGTGCAGTTTGAAAAGTCTCTTTATGTCTCTTTGCAAAAAATAAATAGTGTGTAAAAAATTTAAAAAAAGAAAATATTTTTTTTTTATAT